TAAGGGTGTGAAGCCCACCTCTCGAAAACCATACTCACTTCTAAACCATTTTTTTTCTATTTATATACCCACTTCTAAGCACAAGTGTTTCCAGCGAAAAAAAAACACCCAGCTCACAACTTTTGCAACCAGTGAGCGCATCCGGGCAATGCATTTTATTCAGCCTTTTCCAGTATTTGGCTTTGAATATAAGGATCTGTGAAAAAGTAAATAAATGCTACACATTTCTAAACCAAACCATTGATAAATGGCTACCCACTTCTAAACAAAATAACGTGAAATGAAACCCAGTCGGGCGGCACATACCCGTATTGCACTTCTATGGAAGTACCCCCCCCCCCTCCCGGGTACACGACAGAGTCAGCCTGACTTACCGCAATCTTTGAACGTGACCGATTTCGCCCCTGTCATGGCAACCAACACCAACACACGAACACCGATACTTATTTGAGACATCGTCTTTAAAATGACCAAGTTAAAAATAAACTGAATTTTTCGACCAGTTGAATAACACTCGTGTACAATGTGGGCGGTAATGCTTCGGGTTCAAAGGTAGATCACAGCAGGCTGCTCACCTGATCTGAGGTCAGGTGTTTCTCCGAAAGACTGTTTCAGTTGCAAAGTGGAGAAACAGACGAAGGAAGCTGGGGGTAATGTCTACGCTATTTTCTTTCATAGCTCCATGATATTTCGACCCGGGATTTCGACGCTTATTTACAAACACTCGGGATAGAGATAATTGATAGTATTGTAGATAAAACAGAAAATAGGAATAGGTAAAAATTAGAATATTACATTACACGGATCATCGCCGATTTTTAAAAATATTGTTGTATTTGTATTTATTTAACAGTCATTGATTGCATTGTCACGGTGCGTGTCTAAAGTTTAACAGTCACTGCTTTCATCCAAGTCATCTTTGTCTCATCACCGAATGTATCAAATACCCTGGATTCAGATTGATTAGTCTGTTGACGTTACTGATTCCCATGTTCAATTGAATTTTGCATAATTCTACTGTTACTGTTATTTTTTTAAATCCCACAACTCAACCAGGGGTTACAATTGTCCGATGCACAGGCCTGTGATGAAAACCAAGGGAATGTTTTTAATGTGTATATAACTAAGAAATAAAGATTTTATTTTCAATATCCTCAGTAGTTATAAGTGAGACTTTGGTACAGATACGTATTTTGGCAGACTCAGCATACCTCAATCTGATTAAAATTCCTATTGGGCTTTTCTCATTCTTAATTTTGTATTTTCTTGTTTTATTCATATTTTTTTTTTAAATATGCCCTTAATTATATGTTTTAAATGTCTGGTAGCGAAAGTAAATTAAAAAATATAATTAAAAAAATACATTTGAAAAATATGGTTAAAATATGATGACCAATTGCCTTTTTTAACTTGCCGCCGCCATCGCTGACTGATAAAAAGCACGCCAATGTTTATTCTACCGGAACTTAAAGAAAATCTAATAAGTAGAACACTTTATTTTTTTGGCCAACCTTGCACCCTAATATTTAATCAGGCAATTAAAAGCACTGCGACTGTTGATTTTAGCCGTCAATTGAAATTTATAAAACATTTTAAATGTCAAACTTCCTACATGCAGTCTAGTATATTCACAAAGAAACTGCAAAAACCACACATTTATATAAATAATATAAACGATTATTTATCCCCATTTGAACGTAGTTGAAAACGGCGAGTACTCGTAATTTCACCTTCGTAAGTTCCTTCGCACTTGTATCTCGGACATGCCTGGGCATATCACAGATCATGATGTCATACATATTCACATGTACTTGGTCCTTGATCAAATTCGAGATGGCTGAATAGTGGCCATTTAAATGTAAATCAAAGAAAGCTTAGAAAGAACTCCTGTGTGCTGAACGTATTGGAGAGATATGAAAAAAAATAATTAGCCTGTCTCCCAAACAAGAAGCTTGGCAACTAATATTTGCATGTTATTTGAGATGTACAATATGAAAACAATGTGATCCACTTTGAGATGGCTAAAAATGACATAATCATATGCAAGTTTACCATTATTTATTAATCACATCTGTGGATTACCCTCAGAGCAATTATGAACTAAATTTAAATCATTATGCAAATTAGGTTGCTTTTTATCTAAACTAATCAGGTCTGCACATTGTACGCTGAACACAAGTCTTTGATGCATGTCATTTCCCCCCCAGATCAGATAGCTAATAGCCGACTGACGTCCATTTAGTTTTCATGAATGCTGTTTCAGGGCGAATGTCTATTTTAGTCCTAAACAAGCATTAAAGTAGCAGTATTTTTTTCATTTGATAACTAAATCTGTCAGTTAAGGATGGATTTCATTCAAACAGACAAGACTGTTCCTGATTGTATACACAACCAAAAAATCTAACAGACCAATCAGAGAGCAGCTTGCTTGTTGACATTTTATTTTCATCAAATCAAATTATGCCTTGTGAACATGCTTCGACTTTGGAGACTTGTAATCATCAATTGAGTGCTGTCTGCGAACTCACAAACGCCAATATGGAACTGCCTGCAAAATCAGTTGCTAATATGGAGCTGTCTGCAAACTTTGCATTTACATTGGACATCATGGAACACTGATGTATATCAGGGCCACACCTCTGATATGACAATTTTACAGGGAAAATCATGTCACACATATGCACATGATCTCATTTCATTATCAAATTGAAGATAGTTGAATGGTAACAATTTTGATATTAAAATTGCATCAAAATCAAGCATTTCTGCCATTTTGAAAGCAGATCTTACTCATGCTTGGACATATTTTATTCAAATTTGATACAGAACGGCCATAAACATGACGAGAGCTTGACGCATACTCTTTTTACCCCAGATCAAATTCAAAATGGCCGAGAGGTGATAATTTTATTTGAAGGAGCACTGTTTCAGAACCATATTTTGAAATATATTCAAAATCAAACTTGGACAATATGTTATACTGACAGATCAAATTCAATGGAATATTTTACTTGTTTGGATAGGTTTAATAAAATTCTGCAAGAATTTTGAATTTGAACAAATTGTGGTGCCACAATATGGATTACAGTTTAAAAAAATTGGAATTTATATTTATTTATTCTACATTAATTGTTTTAGTACAGTAGTTCTATTTCCAAAACAAATGCAGAACTTAATTTTGTGAATTCTATGTTTTCTTTGAATCAATCAAAGAAAGCTTAGAAAGGACTTTTGTTTGGCTGAAGTTATTAGAGGCATGAAGTACAAACAAGGAGTGCTATATTTACAGTTAGCACATGTGCTTCTATTAGAGCAAATACAGCATTTAAAAACATAACTGCAAGCAATGAGCAGAGTGGTTCCAAGTAGCTATAGTTTAACAATTATAATATTTAATGAAATAATGACAAATATGTACTTATGATTATTTTGGTCATATATCTTATCAGGCAACACAATTATAGCACCAGTTGCATATCCCTATCTGCAACAGTACTTAAGATAATATAGTTATGCATATTATCACATGACCATATAGTCATCTGAAACAATCACATTGATTTCAACCAAAAACTAATCATTATCTTAGAGCATCTATGTATCAAGTTTCATAAAAATCTGTTGAATGGTACTTGAGAAGTAAAATTTCAAAAACTTATCAGATATGTGTATTATCATAGAGCATCAGTGTAACAAGATTCATTGAATGGCTCTTTAGAAAAAAATAAAAGGCTTAAAATTGGCTAATTAATATGCAAATTATGTAATTAATATGCACAAGACTTCAAAAAAAAAAAAAACTAATCAGGTCTGCACAATATACCAGGGTTCCATGTACCAAGTTTCATTAAATAGTACATGAGAATCAAGTGAAAATGGTTAAAATTGGCTGATTAACAGCTAATTTAAAGCACGGTGGTCGTCACGCAGCACGTGTTCGAATTTCATGTAAATAAACAATGTATTTTACACGCGTTGTATACGTCGCTATGAGTCCCATATCGAACAGGACGTGACACGACGATCACCGCCCTTTAAATAGTTATAACAAACACCAACATTATTGGACATATTTTCTGTGAATTCATACCACCTCATAGAATAATCACAGCACCCCAATAAAGCTTTAATAAATGATTGTTATATAAACATAAACCATAATGCCTCATATATACAAAATATTATTTTATTTTTTATTCATTCATGAGTATTGCATTTTATTAACCACCATTATAAACCAATAAAAGGAACCAGTCTGATGCAACACTCAGACAGATGCAGAGTCAAATAAAATGTCCTTCTCTTCACCAAAAACTGCTGAATCGTAATGCTTGATAATAATTTTTGTCATTATGATTTGGATATCAGTTCCACTTTTACAATTCACTGTCAATACACAGCTTCTTGGCAGCTGGTTCGCTGGCATAGTTTGGAGATGTTGTATTGTCTTTTTCTGCAGAAAAAAAAAGTAAACATTATTCAATTATTACTACAGGGAAGGTGAGGAACGTTGTACTGGGAGAAAAGTATAAGCCAAACACAAAATTGTGAAAATGATTAAATTCCACACTCCACAGCTTTTGTGAGCAACCCAAAATCAAAATATTGGTGCAAACAAATATGGCAGTTAATTAAATTTGGCAGTGCATGTTATTCATCTTGTGTGATCATACGGACGAAAAGTCAACGTTTTACAACAGGGACCAAACACAAATATTCAAGCAACATTATACTAGGATATCGGTAGATGTCTATTGTTATGCAATTACAATATTTTTTGTTTTTTTAACTAATTTTTTTTATGTTCTGTTGACAAGCATACCTTCATCAACATCACTTGGTAATAAAAAGAGGACCTCGGCAGGAACTTTGAATGACACACACAGCATCTCTTTATTGGGAGCCACATCCCTGACATCATGGATAGATGCATTCATAATAGTGCTTCCCAAAATTCTCTCAATTCTCTCTCGTGAATCACGCACTGGATCATCAGATTTAGAAAAACAGTGACAATGCACCATGGGTAATTTTAGTTGACTTCTCTCCTCATCTGAAACATCCGAAAAAAGACCCTTGAATGCATCCAGGAATTCTGTAGCTAAAGCTGGCAAGTTCATTATGATGTGGTATGTTGCATCATCATTTGCTTCTTTTGATTTCTCCTTTATGTGTTTGAGGTAGTTGTCTTTAAAAACAACTTTTATGAATTCTCGGCCATCTAAATTAAAGCATTGAACTCTATTGTTGACTTTGTTCAACTTAACGTTCCGCTGCAGCCATTTGAATGATTCAGGATTCAGGTCATTTGCAAGTACTTTGCATCCCTTTTTGGCAGCTGGAACAGCAAAGGGTCCTACACCGGCGAACACATCATAGATAACATCACCCTTTTGAAGCATACTAACAATACGATCATGCTCAGTAGACAGTCTGGAATTCCAATAAACTTTGGAAAAATCAAATTCAAAAGTACAGTGGTTTTCTTTCGTAGATGTCACCATGCTGGTTTCCTCTCCAGCCATGAGTTCCATCTGGAAGAAACGAAACTCGTTGTCGATTGTATTCACTTTGTTTACCACCATCTTCAACCCTGGATTCTTATCCAGTATAACTTGTCCTATAAAATAAATTTCAAAAACCAACATGTTATATAAAGTGTAAATGGTGTTACAAGTTAAACTGTTTAGCTTCCTAAAAAGATAAAAGCTAAATGTTTCTGAGTATAATCTTTTAGATCCAATCATCAAAGTGTAAAACATAAACAACAATGGATATTTGTTGACACTGAAACATTGCCCCATGCTTCATTTATTGTATCAGAGGTACATTACTTGGGGTTTGCAACTCGCATAGTACTGTATGGTGACATCATGTCAAGATCCCATTCAAGTCTCTTCTCGTAGATAGCGAGACTGAGGCTACGACCTTCTGACATGACGCACATCAATGTTCAATGTTTGTAATGAAAAAAATAAACTTTTCTTGTCACTATCATAGTGAAAAATGTAATACATCGAAAATGTACAGAAAACATAGTTCTCGTAATCCGTCATATTGTGGGCAGCTATTTTGATCCACCTGGACATCCCAGTATCCTAGTTACCTCGGGCATGCGCATTCGCATTTTTTCCCCCCGAGTTGGAACGCTTATGCGAGAGCGAGATTGTGACGGGATCTTGGTATCATGTCACCGTAGTTACAAACCCCAAGTAATGTACCTCTGATTGTATACACTCATTTATTCAAACCATGAATGGCCAAAAAAGAAAGAATTCATAACATTTGACACAGAGGGCGCCTTATCATGTAAAATCCAGGATATACATGTTGGTACTAATGTTATTCCTTTCTACAACACAATTTTGTTCTTGATTTAAAAGTGAGAGACTTGGGACTATTTAAATGATGTAAAAGTGACTGATAGTTTCCTTGTGATTTACAATGCTAAAACTTGAAGTGGCCTCAATGTCAAATTTTGATTCTAATATTTTTCCAGGTTTGATTTCAGTAGCCAAATGTAACTTTGTGTTTGCCTCTTGTAATACATGCATGGCATGTCTATTACCTTATTTTTAAATGGTTGCCAAGAAATCATAGAAATCAAGATAGCCATGTGACTTATTTTGCCACCAAAATAGCATTTCACTCTATTGAATACCGATACAGCATCCACTATTCCTCTGACCCATGTAACCATGGTAAAAGTGGTTGCTATAGCAGCAAAGAATGGAACACTGTTTGGGACAGCAAAACCATGTCACATGTCGCTTTCTCGCTCTCATCTTGGCGGCCATTAGCGAATAAGGTCTATTACTATTTTTAAAATCTGACACAGAAAAACAGAAGAGATGAATTTTCATTAATTTGACGACATGATTTTTGTGAAATTTAATTCCGGCCTCAAAATATCAAATCTCAAACAATTTGTGGCAAAAAACACTTTACAATACACCCAACTGACACTACCCAAATATGTAAATGGATGAGGTTGGTGCATGAATAAGCTACTAAAAGGGACAACCTAATTATGTAAATGGAACAAGGTCTGCTACATGAACAAACTAAAAGACAACTAAACTACCGGTATGTATAATTCAGAGAACGTTTAAACAAAAATAGATAATCCAACTTATAATGTACCGGTAGTGGAGGAGATTGGTGCTTGAATAAACTACAAAAAGATTATTACTGCACAGATGAAATAAATCAAATAGGATTTGGTGGACACATTTCCTACCTATAATTTTCTTGTATTGCATTTGTTCATCCCTGAGATTCATGTGTGCAATATGACCCAACCTACTGAAACTACTGATGACCTCAATGTCATGGGGCATCACAGATCTCAATATTTCATCCGCAGACCATTCCTTGTAACGAATTTCAAGATCATACTCGTATAGTTTTTCTTCAACGCTGTTATCCTTCAAGATCTGTCGCGTTTCTTCACTAAATGAGTTCATATCGGTCACTTTTTCCGGATCCAACAACCAAAACTTGTTCTCTTCGTTTGGGACATCTCTCATGATCTTGATATGACACCGCTTCCGTTTCAGAATGTATTCGTCGAAACATTTGGATCGTATAAGTTGTGATATTATTCGTTTGTTTATCTTCAGGGCAGGCACTTTGACGGTGAGTTTGAATGCCTCCCTGTCGAGTACTCTCATACCGCGCACGGTGTCCGGTGGGCTAAACATGCGGTCGATGTTACTGAGTTGGTGCTGTAAGCTGGTTTGACACAGGCGACACAACCGTTCAGCGCTTGGTAACACGGGATTTCGGAATTTAATGATGGCACGATCAATGCAGTTGCGTTGAATTTTGATCACAAGTCGAAGACAGGCCTTGCCCGTGGTAAACAGCATCACAACCAGAGTCTAATCGAAAATAACACCACACAGCCGAGAGAGCATACACATGCTGCCGTAAGTAAGTGAGATCGCGATGTCGTGAACGCGGATACTGCCCCATTACGGTATAAGGTGAAGCCATTATTTTCCGGGGGTGTATGGACATAGTGCGAGTGGTAAGTGTGATTAGAACTAATCCGAAATAGTACTAGGTCTAGGGGGTGAAATGATACAGTACGAGTGGCATTGTTATCCGCATTGACAACGACGTCGAGACATCCCGTAATTATTGTCTGAAAATAAAATAATATTTGCAAAAAAATTGAGTATCATTTATTCATTGGCAATGTGTGACAGTGGTTACAATGTAAACTGAGAGTACTAGTGTTAGTAACCGTGGTGGAACTTCGTAGTTTTTACAGATTGTGAATAGAGATATTGTAAGATATGGTGTCGTGTGAACGTTTGTGGGTTATACGGCGTATGTAAGCCGTGGAATTCAGCATTAGTTTAAAAAATCGCACTGGCTTGTCGTTCTCTTTTTGGTCGACACCACGCTTAAAAGATGGTAGTCGTCGCGCCGCCCAAGTACGACATTTGTGTTGATAAACATTGATTTTCCCACAATCCAATGCGATTTTCTAATGAAATCACAAGTACGAGTTTTGGCCTGGGCACCACTTGTACTAATTATCGCCGGCGACTCCTTCGATACTTTCCAATCTTTGGTAACCTCTCGGTTTTTACATGTTGGTGTGCGCAACATATAAAATCGCAATCTTTATTGTATGAGAACCATATCTGGCGCATGTGTGGCGCGACGAGCACAGCCTTTAATGAAAATAGATCTTCAAAAATGAGATTATGCCGTATAATGCTGTAATTGACAAAGGGCTTTAAACAAAATATAAAATTTGTATAGGCGAGTTACTGAATGTGGTCGTTCGACAAAAATATTGCCCGTAACTCGTAAGTTCTGTTAACTGTTAATTCAATCATGGACGTACTAGAGATTAGTACGTCCATGGAGGTAACGTCCATGGAGGCAATTTACCTCCATGGTACGTCCAAGATTCAATCGAGTTACAATTTGGGCGTGGCCTCTCAGAAGTGGGCGTGGTTTCTATAATATGGGCGTCCACTCGACTTGCCGACGATGCAGTAGAACAATAAACATGAATGCAATCCAATATACAGCTGACATTAACAAATCACCCAGTATATACACTTTTCTGTCCCGAAATGAAAATAAATGCACACATTCGCAGCAAGTGGAATAAACTGTCTACACGTGAAATCGATATATAGTATATTGATAATATTTGGTAATCGTTGTCCTAAGTACCCAGACGTTTCAAGTAATGGCGTTTTATCGATAGCGCATCTGTTTACGCTTACACGTTCGCACGAGTCGTAACGTCAACGCAAACAAACTTGAGCGTGGCTGTGTGCATTCACATAAAACGTGTGTAGCTGATTCTCTCTAATGCATCCGACATACCGTGGTGCAATCCTGGAAACGATCTGGTTCTACAAGGCAGCCATACTCAGTTGGTGCGTGTTCAATCATGGAGCTGTAATGAGACAGCCTCCTGGTTCAATACTATCACTCTTCAAAACGCTGCAATATTTACAATACTAGTATGCGACTTTTATCACATTTGCGACTGGTCCGTTATTTTTGGTCGTGGGGTAGTGTGGTACTGGTGAACAAAATAGGTTGCGCAGATTTAAATGAAAAACATGTTTTTATTGCGTAAAATTAGAATAACAAACATATCACCCAGTAAAAGGGACCATATTTGCTTTACGATATATAAGCCTCTCGGCCAAAAATAATGGCCAAACCAAAGTACACACGGTGGGTTACACTAATGATGCGAAGTTATTTGTCAATACGCTTTAAAACTATTCTCACATATGATGTAAGTTTTGTAACACGAGAACACGCTTACGTGTATGCACGCGAGAATGGCACTTGCAACATTCATTACAGCTCCCTGGTAAAACTAAATTATTTTATAGTAGCTTGTACCACCACCAATCAGGGGTTACCAACAGCTTTCACATCCACATTATTATTATTATCAGCCATCTCTTTTCAGAAAAGGCCACCAGAAACATTTCCATTACAGAACACCCAAATAAGGCAGGTTATTAGGACAACAATTTCTCACATAGACAATTATGTGTTAAGTTTTCGAACACAAATTTAAATAATCTAACTTTCAAGCAGATGGCCAAACCCTCATATTACCATATTAATGGATTAGCTACTGCACTGTCTTGCCTTATCAAACAGTAGCTTGTAGATTTCACGACAGAGTTTGTACCTTGCTGGAAAGGGTCACATTATATGGCTCTGTAGTTTTTTTATGTCACCGAGATGACAATGTCATTCATATGATAGTACAAATGCCAGTATGTCGTCTCGCTATATTGTTTTACCGTCCTATTGTACTAGACTTGAACACAATTGTCATGTTTGTCAACATTGTTTATCAAGTTTGATTTCAAAAAAAGGTGAACAAGGGAAAGCAACTCCACTATTTCATATTTTAGCTGTTTTAACCCTACCCTTTTATTTAATTTTGTACATACATAACAAGCTCTACTCATTTCGTTCAAACGCACTGATTTACATCTAGGGATGAAAACACCTTCAACTTTGATGGAACTCCAGAAACACTATTGTCTATTTTTGAAATTTAGCATGCTTGTGGCGTGTACACTTATATGAAGAGCACTTTGGATAATTTTATACTGCATATTAATGAACACTTTGCATATCAAACTAAAAACATTTTTTTTTAGAACATACAAGTAAAACCTGGTATATACATTTTTGGAAAGGAATAATATTCAAACTACAATTTCAACATTTATAATAATTTCTAAATTTGATTTACTTTTTTTATATGAAGAGCAACAGTCAGAACTACTATTGTCCCAATAAATCAATCGGCACTAATTTTTATTATTTTTTCTCCTGATTTGTCATCGCTATTACTAAAATAATACGAGTAACAATGATGAAATATCAGGAAAATTTATAAAAAGTAGTACAAATCGATTTAGAATTTCAGTCCACAAGTGACAATGCCAGTGACATGCAGTGTAAGCAGTTTGCACTGTAGATTATAATGTTTGGCAAAATTACTGCCTAATGAATGTGCTCTTTTGTAGTAAGCACATGTAGCCAAACCTAGACAATATATTATGTTTTATGGTTTATATACAGTTAAAAGTTTATGCGCAATTTTCATCAACATTTTTAAAAATGGTCATTTTCAACAATCAGTCAAAATGTGACCAGAGTTATAAACTACTATCTTCTTTCAGGCCCGGACACAGATTAATGAAAGTTTTAACTGGTTGTGAAACAAATTTTGCAAATCAGCAGAGCAGTGACCACACATACAGGAATAGGTGCAACATCAAATAGACACACTGGTAAAAGCAACATCAATTTTAAGGATTCTAAAACAGTTCATCCTCTAAAACTTGTGCCTGTGAGATTCTCAGCAGCTTTGCCTTGATATTGGCATCTACATTTGGTAGGACCTCTCTCATCCTGACAGATCGCTACAAAGAATTAAAACAAAATAATTGTGTCAGGATATGTATAGTACAATGTAACCAAACATTATGAAAGGGTCCAAAAAAGTTCAATTCGTATTGGCATTGGATTCATAATATTTGTTATTTTTTTTAAGTGCATAGACTAGCATGAACGATTCACTTTTTGGGTTCACATGTAAAAATGTTACAATATACAAATCACCACCACGAAAAAAGACTAACCTCAATTTTATGAACTAAATCAACATCCCATTTGTGTACAATTAAACTGGTCACATGACCTGATGTTTGACTTCCAACTCGACCCACTCTACCAGCACGATGAATGTAATCTGACATGCCATGCGGGAAATCAAAGTTAATGACATGTTGTGCCTACAAAGTAAATAACTATTAGGTTAGAGCATTCAATAGGGCAATATATCTTTACAAAAAGAGTCCAATACATTGAATGAGATACAATATTTAGGAATATTGAGGAGGACGTTATAAGATAAATAACTGATTGAAATTTTGCATATAAACAAGGTATAGACTATTTCATTAGAAAATTAAATCATTTTTAATCAATTTACATTTTGGATTTAATTTTCAGTATCTAAACAATAAGTGTAACAGTGAATATTTTGATGATGAAGGCACAATTACATTGTTCACCTGTTGTTGATATTGTGAAGACTACTACAATAATATACAAATGTATGCTAGTGTTAAAAATATACTTGTTCAGTGTCAGAAATAAATAATATGACCTACCCTAATGGTATCTAGACCTCTGGAGCCGATATCAGTACAAACCAATACATTTTGTATGCCCTTCTGGAACTGCTGAAACAAACCATACCTTTCCTGTAAAATAAAAATAAAAAAAGTTATATTTGTATTTTTATTTATAAGTATATTTGTTTTTAGGCAACAGGTGTCAGGGAAAGGCAAATAAGTTCAAATTTTACAAACTGTGAAATATTCAGCACGTGTAAAATGCTAATTAAGTATATGCAGAAATACAGATATACCAAATTTATCAAATTCTTAATGCCCTATCATCTCAACAATGTTAGTCAAAGTTTACAATTTCAACGATAGAGCATGACTTTACCCCAGCAGAACAAAAGCTATCAATCAATGAAACACCCCAGTAATGAGGGCGGCATTTTATTTGATTATATGCAAATATACCCTTACACTGACACTGACAGCAACGGTGCAAAGCTCTGTGTGCATTTATTTCATGTTTCATCAGATTAATCATAAATTGCACCTTGTAGCAATGCTGTTTCAAATGTAAAAGCCACACTCATAGTCACTATCTTGTAAATATCACTCGGCCTTGAGCCATAAATTTGGGCTTAAAAAAGCATGTCTATAAGGTATGATTAACTATACTTATATTAGGTTCAAAATATGCACTGGAAATTACAGTATATACCGGTAAAATATACTGGTACATGATCATGCCATATTAATTAATACCTTGTGATTCATTCCACCATTCAATTTCAGTGCAGACACGTTGTTCTCTTTCAAAAACTGATATAACCAATTACAGGAATCTATTTTATTACAAAACACAACAACTGGAATTTTACATTTAACATCTCTTTTCACAAGCTCCAAAGTCTTTCCTGCAAAGAAAAAAATAGTAATGGTAAAAAACATGAAGAAAAAATATTTATAAAATAGAAATCCATGTTTCGTAATTTAATACAATTGTATAACATTAATAATTTTGTAAACTACCCAGAATGCACTACAATTTGGATCACATGGTTGGCTTTATCCAACCAATTTAGCAAAAGATGGAACATTGAAACAAATAGTCTTACTTGCTGAATACATGAATCAATTAAATCAAGAAATCCAATCAATTTCTATTTAAATCATTCATTCCAAGTGTTTAATAAAAGTCTGTCATTTATCTACTCTTATTTTCCAACCTGCTTTATCTTTGCTATGGATTCTGATGAACTTTTGAGGTATGTGTGGCATCAGATGATGTAAATGAGTTGTTTTCACGGTAACCAGAGATCCATCCTGTAGTAAGTAAATTATAAGGGTTGAAAATAAAATAGAAACAATTAATGTACGTCAATGATTTTAGAAGTTTTTGTATTCAGACTATCATGATCAGTTTAGAAATAAAATTATAAATGCACATGTGGAAACAGACAGTACTCTGATTTTATATGCAATTTCTGAATGCTCATCCGCCAATTCAGAGATACAGTGTTGTTTTATATTGGTCATGAAAACTGAAAACTAGTATCAGTCTGTCTTAAGATCAAGTCAGTTTTTGCTACTGACATTTTCATATGTAGATAAGAACAGTGAATATGTACATATACTGGATGAAGCCGAGTATCACATGTATTAATTTTCAAACTTACTATGAGATTATTACAAAGAACAACACAGTTGTGTTATAGTATCAACTGACACATAGCTGTGACCAATGTTAAACAGCATTCCAATATGATGTAAATACAACACACATTTTCCAATTAAAGAAGATGTCTGACTGAAACATATTATTTTCAATGCTAGATAGATAATAATTAGGATTACTATGACGACTCATACCTCCACAACATTGTCCAACATTTCTTCTGCATTTTTTGGCATGGTGGCTCCAATCATGATGACCTGAGCATTCTCTGTGTTATCCGCACTGTGCCTGATCTAGAAAAAAATACAGCATTTAAGAACTACATGAAGTAAAACGCCTGACATATTTCACTGCATTAGCGGTAGTTATTTTGTAATAAACAATACCATATTCATACGGGTTCATTTTGTGAGAATTTGTGTTTGTTGATTATTTTCTCTCAGTTGTTCTCACCCGGGGCATAGTATTTTTTTCACTTCACTCCGAAACTATATTGTGGTGATCACCAGACACAAATTCAAATCATGGAAACTCCTCAGCCCCTGGCTCACCCCAGCCCCACCCAAAAACCATCTCTCATAATAATCCCCCAAACCTTAAAGTGATATGAGTACAATAAACAAAGTGAGAATTACTCACAGATATTCGTTTTAGTAAGTTCAATGTCATGGTTCGAAAACTGTCATCTAACATTGTGTCGATTTCATCTATCACTACATAACGTACATTGTCCATGTGAATCCATCCTAAGAAATGAAAAACAATGTAAATACCATAGAAACCTTTTTTCTGAATCAATACAATAGCAGATATCAACAACATTTCATGTAATCTGATTGAAATTAGATGTTTTGTTTGGAATTGTTTTTTGTTTTTTTTTACTTTTTTAGCATAATGCTTCAAAATCTTTTTCTGGTTGCTAAATTTTTCACGATTAAAAAAAAAAATTAAATACATAATATAAAAGAAATTAATAAATAAATAAATAAAAAAAGTTGTAAATTGAATCGGCACACACACACAATTGTCATTCTTATTATTTGGATGATATTTAACACAGGGCCAAAAATTAAACCCACCTGATGTAACACATTTCAACAATGCTCCAGGAGTAGCTACCATCAGATCCAATGGAGAATCACTTGTACTATGTAAAGTTTTCTATCACAAATAAATACATACATAATGTCAAATGCAAACTCGAAATCATATGATGGGGCAAAAAAAAAATATCACCAATATATAGCCAAGTTGTATACTAAAACTTAAAATTGTTATATTACAGTAAATATACAATCATTTTTTTATTTGCCAGGATTGACATTAAGATTGTTAAAATTACTGATAGTACTTACATGTCTTCTTCCACCTTCCACTATGTTTGCTGACAATTCAGTAAATTTGCTCAATCTCCTAGCAACAGCCTCCATGTATACACAGAAAGAAGAGAATCATCAATCATCAATATATATGAACAAATGAATCAACATGGCTGGATTTCAAGTCAAATGACCAACTTTGATATCAATCAAGAAATGGGAAATTTTACATCAAATATTTCAAAATACAAAAATGTTGACAATGCAACACAGTATAGTTTGTCATGTCAACTCACCAACACTTGCTCTGCCAGTTCTCTGGCTGGTAACAATACTAAAGCTCTTGGTAAACCCACGGCTGATTTCATACCAAGCTTCTCTGTCTCTGTCTTCATCTGGTGTAGCATAGGCAGTAGATATGATAATGTTTTACCACTACCTGTCATTAGGGTAACACAATTCAGAATCAGCATAACTATTAATAATATGCATGTTACAGACTATTTTAAGATTTATGCATTTTTCAAAAAAATGTACAATGCTCAACTATATATACAAAATTAAAATATGTGCGAGTTTCAATTTGTTTTTTAGGCCTAATTGGAGAGAACAAATTCAGATTAAAGGGGTACATTCAGCACCTTCAACTTTTATAATACTTCCCATACATTGTTTTCATATTAACATTATAATAGTTGTACATTTAAACATAAATAACTGACAGATTGCAAGCTGATCTTAGCAAATAACAAAATATGATGCATGCATCCTATGATATACTATACTTTGAATAATGGTCAGACTAAAACGTGGCTACCAGTCGGCCATATTGGAACATAAGGAAATGGCCATAGACAGTATTAAATGTTGATCTAAATTCAAAACACAATGGAGTACACAATTATGCCATTAAGCATTGTCATTATGCAGAGATGAAATAGAAATGGTATGGGACTGAAGGGAGGCACACATAGGACCTTAATAGAATTGTTACATAGTATGAAGGCATACCCTTTCCCATATTGAATCACTGTACATAAGCTTACGTACAAGAGTATAAACTGACCACATACCTGTCTCAGCTGCACATAGGACATTGTGTCCTCTCATAACTTGAGGAATTGTTAAGATCTGAAAATATAAACAACAGAAGTTAATAAAGAATACATCTTTCTACACAGTAGATATTCATAAGAGATGTCTATAAATCTGCAACTTATTTGTATTTCTGTTTGCTCTACTGAAACACTGTGCCCTCACCTGCACATTAGTTGGTTGTTCAATTTCCATGCTGGCCAGTCCATTTATCAATGATTCATGGAGATGGAAATCACTAAAACTTGTCACTGACTCATTATGCTCTGAACCCTGGTCTGATTTCTTAGGAAAAGCAGGATTCTGTAGAACAAAAATATTAAGTAGTTGGCATAAAGAAATTGATATATTTGTTTTGAATTAATAGATTGTATACACTGAAATACTGATATGGATGAATGGAACTGTAATTTATTAGTCAGGGACATGGATTAATTTAATAGTTAGTGACATGGACTAGGTGATCAACTTGATTAGGGCCAGGAAAAGAAATCTATCAATGATACCAAGACTGAGAGATCAAAGTCACTAGTTTAACATATAATATAAACTGACAATAATTGTCATATTACATCAAAGTATACTTCTGAATCAAAATCAAAAAAGTTAGTGGCTGTCCCTTCGAACTAAATATAATGTAATTACCCCTCTTGTATTATTTATTGTGAAATGATCTCCACAAGATCGGCTGTGTTTCCATCCCTGTGAAGCCAACCTAGTGGGTTTGAACTTATTGAAGTGCTGATTCACATAGTGGCTGTATTCTGTTCTTTTAGCAGCGATTATTTGTTTACCAGGTTGCCCAGTAAAAACCCTTCCACGGAATCTTATCCTTCCTTTCATCTTCATATCTGTTTCAATCTTCTTGGCAATCTTAGTGGGAATACGGATTATGTTTTCTTCAGGCATTGAACATAAAGGCTGTTAATGAAATGTGAGTAAGAAAAAACAAAATTAGATGATCACTTTTACATATTCTGTGCTTGTCCACATCCAGAGAGATTGTAGGTTTGATTCTTGAGAAAAGAAGAAAACAGTTTATCCTGCCTACTTGCCAGGATCGTGACTTTCCTAGTCATTCATCTATCAGCTTTGTGTGATGTTTCCTTAATGCATTTAAATTACTCAGCATATTTGATGCAATGAACTTTAAAAACCACAAGACTTGTTTTTACTCATCAAAAATGTTTCACTACCTCTCGTCATTTCAAAAAAAAAGTTGTGTGGCTCTATCTCTCAACAACAATATACCAGTGCCCATTTGCATCTAGGGTCTATTTGCCAAATACAGCGGTATCTAAGAATCATATGATTGTGTTTGTTATCTTTTTTGGATAACATAACAATGTATTAAACCTCAGCATTACTGAAAGTTTATATTACTAAAAAAAAAAAACAAACAAATCTAATTCAGCATATTTGTTAACTGATTAAATAATATTACATTCTGAGATCAAGCATACAACTATAGTAATGAACTTAAATATGTAATATGTCCACATATGTCAAGATATATATGCAGGCCCATATTTGGTTGTATGAATGCATCTACGTATTACCCGGTATACTACACTGGTTATCATAAATTTTCATTGATAAAACTATAGCCAAGAAATAAACATTTTATTCTCTCACCATGGTAATTGCCTGATATCTGTCTACATGTGAAATTTACTCTCAGAAAGAAAAGTACTTTATTGGACCTCAAAATATTCAGAATATTCTTGTTCTGAATCACATACCGGTACATAACTAAAGTCAAGGTAT